CCGGCTAGCCTTGCAAGAGCGAGTGTGCGGAAGAATTGCTTCAAGGCTCAATTCATGTAATAGAACATGCTTAGATGTCATGCTTCCGTCTACAAGATTGATTGGTTATTCATTATGCTAATTGAACAAAAGGTTGGTTGTTTATTGACAATGGTATGCGATTGGCTGCCAGTGATACTCATTGGACGAGACTTGATTGCGGAATTGAAAACAAAAATATGCTAACAACTGCACGTGTGCTCATCAGATAACACTGACCCGACTCCACGTATCGAACAAATCGATACCATGTGTACCCAAATTGCTATTGAATCCCGGTGACCCTCTCTCTGACTAGACTTGGTTGTTGACTGGAAAAAACAAGACCATACAAACATGTGTGCTTATCAAAGACAAAGTTTATACTGATCTAACTCCATGTATCGAATGCCTCAGTACCCTGTGTACCCAAGTTGCCATTGGAAGCCGGCGGACGAGACTTGGTAACTAACTAGACGACAAGAGTATGAACCGAGACAACATTTACACTGACCTAACTCCACATGTCAAATGAGTTGGTATCCTGTGTACCCGAATTAACAAAATTTAGAATAAACTAAGTTAGAAAATAAAACAACGAAGTAAATATTCATCCTTCAATCATATATATAGACTATAGTAAAAAACTGGGAATGCCAACAGTAGTTATTCCATGTGATTAACGAGCTTAAATAGTCATGATCAAGAGGTTTCTTGCAAATTGTGTACAAAGAGAGCTATTCTACCAAGCAATTTTATTACTTGTCCAAGGAAGTATAAATTCATAATATACTGTACTTCACTAGCATCTTTAAATCATCCCATAAAACATAGTTCCCCAACTGGCTACTGGGCTGCAAGTATTTTCTCGAACTCAAAAATATTCTGACAGGTCTTCTTGGCTCTTTAGATCCCATATAACTACCTTCCCATCCAATCCTGAAACGAATAGGATCGGTTTATAAATAGGTGCATTCATATGTACGAATGTAAAAGTCGAGTCTGCTTGAACTAACCAGAAGTGCTGAACCGGGTCGATATAGAATCCCCTGCTTTCTTCATTGCCACAATAGAACTAGAGTTTCAAAAAAAAAAAAAAAAAAAAAACCATA